AATCCCCGCCGGACTCCGCGCTTTTCCACAGCCCCCAGCGGCCTCGCACCCCGGCCTCCGTTAGCTGGCCTCTCTCCGCGTTCACGCACAGCCTCACACGACCCCGCTCCGCTTGCCACGTCACCACCTAGCCCCGACTCGCCGCTCACGCCGGATCCTGACGACCTGCCGCCGTCTACTTCCACCACTTCCCAGCCTCCCCCAGCACCTACCAGAATGTCTAAGCTGGAGTTTCCGAAACTCACTGGCGAGCTCACACCCGCCACCATCAACGGGTGGCTCGGCCGTTGTGAAGACACTCTCGAGGCATGGCAGGCGGTCAACGCTGAAAAATTGATTGCGGCGCGCACCACCATTACGCTTGCAGGCTTGAAGATGGAGGAGGGTACGGCGGCGACGTGGTGGAGCGAGAACCGTGATGAATTGAAGAAACTCGCGACTTGGGAGGAGTTTGCACAGAAGGTGAAGACACGCTTTGTCCCCGCCAACTGGCGCATGTCGGCCCTCGCGACCTTCTACGGTGTCCATCAGGGCACATCCTCCTTTGTCGAGTTCGCGAAAGCGCTCCAGACTGCCCGCAACACCCTCGCATCTGCCGGAACTGGCTTCACCATCGATGAGTCCATTTTCAAAAATCACCTTCTCTTCCATGCACACCCAATTCTACGCCTCCGCATCATCGCCCAGCCCACTCTCCCGTATGCTACCATGCGTTCTGACACCTTGATCTCCGCCATGTCTTCGGCGTGGGACAGTCTCATCGCGGAGAAGGTTGTGCGTCCGCCTATTACTCCTGCGCCCCCTCTCCTTGTCATTCCTCCCTCCAACACCTCATCCTCCTCTCCCTCGCTGCCGACACCTACTTCGTCAACGTTGTCCGCCGCTCCGGCATTCGCTCCATTAACCCACACCGAGAAAGAGGCCTTGCGCGCTGCCAATGGATGCTATCATTGTCGCAAGACCCCGCAGTCCCCGGGCTGGGTTCGACACCGCAGCGATAATTGTCCAGGCGACCCTGCTCGCGGCATCCCTCCCCGCACCGCCCCCGCCGTTGTCGCAGCTGTTGGCCCTGCTGGATTCTCAGCCATGTACGAAGAAGGCTACGCGCCGGTGGCGGCAGTTTTCCCGACTCACTACAGTGATGACGAAGACAATGAGAATGTCTTCTCTGCCGGCACTGACGATAGCGACTTATCCACTCGCAATACTTGATCCATCAACTCCCGCAGCATACAATACAATGTCCCCTTTAATTTCCTTCCCTTCTCTTCTGGCCGACACCCGATTTGTTGCTCGCAGATTTCCATAGCGACCCCAACAGGTCACCCGTTTCTCCTCGAGGGTTCGCGTTACCCTTGGCAGTGTCCTTTGGATCTCTCGGTCGCGTTTTGGGTTTTCTTCATATTTTTTTATGACTATTTTGTTGACGCACTCAATGTTTTTGAGACGGGGAGGGTGTAAGCCCGTCGGCTTACTGTCGGCATGGACCATTACATAACCAGTTTACTCTTGTCCTTACCCACGTACCTCGCTCGATTGTACTCCCGTATCTCGTCGTCCCTGAATCATACAGTGGTACTGTTGACTTCAGGTGTGATTTGTCGTCTAGTGTTTCCTGCTCGGCCAGCAGGTTTCCAGTCAGACTATAAGAGTTTCAGCCTCAACCTGTGTGAAATTTAGTTTGGGCATTGGAGCAGAACTGCTTACCACGATCCCAAATGATCCGAGAGGTCTTCTCACTGCTGCTGAAATAATTCATCTGGTGAACATTCGTGTGGGGGCGTATAAAGGCGCTTCTTGAAACTTGATTTTATATCCTCCTTCCTTCAATTCTCATTTCTGCCTCATCCTCTTTCATTCTAAATTGAAATATAAATCAACAAATATTATCCTTACACTCACGTTCAGTTGCGGTATTTTGAAGTCAATAAAAGACACTGCTGAACCCAGAGAAGAAATCGGAGGACAAAGAATGCGAAAATTTTTCTTATGATTTAACCCCGAGTCGAATGGGACCAGTCACAGGGGAATAGAATAACGCTAAATTAAATTGGCTGAATTTGCCTACAGAGATAAGTTGAGTGCAGCACGCCGCCGCTGCACGCGTGCTGCATTCATTCAGGGTTGGTTCAGGGAGAGTTGTGCAAGAATGCAGCACGAATATCGAACGCTTGCAACACTAGTGCTGCACGCATCACAAGATGTCAGTTTGAATGCAGCATCAGCGGTGTTGGCCTCCAGAGAGTTTGAAACGAAGTGAAGGCTATGTCAACATCGGTGCAGAACTCATGTTGGAACGAAGATGCACGTGTTTGTGCACGTGTTTGAACGTGTTCTGCACGCACTGCACGAGTTTGCACTCATTTAAAATGGGGCTTTGTCCAGTAAAGACTGTCATAGTGGATCCTCCACCTCCAAGCCTTTCCCATCTCATCGTGTGGGTGTATACACTTGCACTTCAACGGAGGTGAATTCTTCATTATGACCAGGCCGTGGTTGAACCCGTGTATACTTATATTATAACTTCTTGACTAGTTGGGAATAAGCGAGAGAAGAAAAAGAGTGGAAAAGACAAGGTTTCGCCACATGGGACAATGGCTCAGCCCCGGCTCGGGCGGGTGCTTCTACAGATACAGATAATTAAGATCGATTCAAGTTAGTTGGACGAAAAAAAAAAAAAAAAGAACGGTTGATCCTGTCACGGCTCGGGCCCGAGTCGAACGGGCGTCTCTCGCAAGTACCCATATGTAATCGACAATTTGTTGTGAGCATGAACCGTCCACCACCGAGCCTTTCCTATCTCGTTTTGTGCTTCTTGAATACATGGAATTAAAAGCTAAGCAAAATACAGCTACCCGCCATAGATTATGGCTGTTGCTCCGGATCCTTAAGTGGTCGGCTCCCTCGACGACACAACAGTGCCTGTGTTCGGTGTCAATGAGTTGGACTGGGTGAATACATACACTCTGTCCTCTGCACTCTCACAAAGTCTGAGGGGGCATTTGGCTGTGCAACTTGCAACTTGAAGGAAAAAAACTTGTAATCACTCTCTTCAATAATGCCTTGGGCCCGAGTCGAACGGGCGCTCCCACAAAATCCTCACGACGATGTTCACAATTTTGTGGGTATGGACCCTCCACCACCGAGCCTCATCACTCTCCTTCTGTGGGTGCATACATGGACAGTTCTTTACATTCACACGCAGTCTCAGTACTTTGGTTGAGGCTTGATTGAATTTCCCTACATCAGACTTTTGACACAAAACTTTTGATGCTTGTTCAAGCTTGAACAAGGCCAAACAAGGGCAAAAAGACCGAAAGGTGAAAAGGCCGCAAACTTAGAGGTCAATCTCACAAGGTCGCTAGTTCGGCCCTGAACAAGTGCATTTATTTCAAATTTGGGAATAGATAACCGTGTCAGGTATGCACTAGGCTAGTCAAATAGGTGTTCCCTGGCATTCAAAGGATTCACCCTACTTCTGTTCCCATTTTGTGAGTGTAATTTTGAGCCCTTTTCGCCTTGTGAGCTTGTCGGCAAGCTGACAAGGTCCAAAAGGGGACAAGATTTTGGTCAACTGGCTGATGTAGCCTAGCAAATATATACGACAAACGAGGTACAAGTTTTCGGCTGTAGCGTCTGTTTATAAGAGACTAGCAGATATTATGGCTGGATAAATAGTATTGGACAGTACAGGTGGGAGCAAAAAAGCGTGCATTCACCGAACATGGCGCGGACCCGAATCGAACGGGTGCCCCCCAATTTAAATGTCTTGATATTTATCGAGGGTGTGGACGCTCCACTACCGAGCCTATATGCTCTCACCTGCTGTTGGTCGAGTACATGGACAGTTCCACAGTTCATTTAAACGAAGTCTCGGACCAATTACAGTATTCATTTCGGCCGAGGCTCGGTTACTGTACCATTTCATTCAATTCTAACTGGCTGTGACCTGTGACACAAAAATTCGAACTTCGAAGTTCGGATATTGGCCTGGCGGACCGTGACACAAAGAAAAGTTCGTATATTCGGCGCGGGCCGGAGAGCCAAAAAGTCTTTGAATCAGCAAGGAAACAAGCCGATGTGGTGAGGGACGGAGGAATTCAACCAACAACAAGCTGTATTGGTTGAAACTCATCCGTCTGTGTGCTTTTTGAGGCAAAATGCACCCCATGGACGAAAAATTGGATTTTTCACCAATTTTGTGACTCATTTTGCATGTTCGAATATGCCCTCGGTGACCTGTGACAGGTTCGAAAAAGTTCTGATATTTCAGCCCTTGTGACGCGTGACATCCGAATTGAATGAAATGGTACAGTACTTCTCTTCCAACCCAACATTCGAGAAAGCCTTTAGCAATACCGTACATCAAGATGATAAACTTCACTGGTAAGCGACCCCGAAGATTGGCTCAGGACAGGCAGGTGTAGTCTGTAGTTAACCGCGCCACTGATGCAAGGTCGCCAGATTATTACCAATCTTTTGGTGGGTGATTACAAATCACTTTCCCCCTCCCTTCCCATTGCTCCCTACATTCTCCAGCAGTTGAAATTCAACTAAATCGGTACACTCTACTACCTTATAAAGGGATCTGCCCCTTCAGAATATTTTTATTGTATGCCTTTGAGCTTGAACTAATATCTCGGTGTTTGGCGCATGCCGTCGGCATGCCGGGCATCAAATTTCGGCATCTTCGTTCTTGAACCTTAGCAACTAAATTCCGCTGGAGAGAACACTGGGGTAGATGCACTGAGTGTCAGGGAGGCCGTAAATTGACAGAAAACACGTCGAAGAACGCACCTCAACATCCGAGAAATTTTGTGATTGGTAATAATCTGGCGAGCGATCAAGGGATCACTCTAATCAACAGACTACAAATTGCGAGGTACGAGCAAAACTTTGTAGCGTCTGTCTACGAGAGACTAAGGCAGGTGAGAGAAAAAAAGATTTCTGTCAGGATCTAGACGAAAGGTAAACCAAAAAAGCGTCATCTGCACCAAATATGGCCCGGGCCCGAGTCGAACAGGCGTCTTCTGCAGAGCCCTGTTTTATCATTTCATCAATGGCAGATGCACTAACCGCTGTGCCACCGAGCCGTGATCACGAGCGGGTAAGAAGTGTTACGTGGGAGCGGGGATGACAAGAGAGATAGGGGCTCGGCGTTGTGACATCACCACCCGTCTCCGTGACGAGCGCGTCCCTGACCAATCAGCGCCACACACCGCCTTGTCTTCTTCTCCTCCCGTGAATCACACTTCAAATAAAATGGACGTTCTCAGCAAAACCATCGACGGCGACACGCCCGGGTCCTCCCCGCCGCCCTCGCGTCTGTGGAGCTCGGTGCCGGGCAGCACGGCGCCGAGCTCGCCTGGCCCGTTCCCCGCGCCGTCGAGTCCGAGTGAGGGTGGAGAAGAAGATGTGGAGATGGATGTGGTACGCGTTCCCTGCTTTTGTCGCGTACCGTTACCTGTCGCTGAGCTCACGCAGGCCCCCGGTGCCCGCCCCTCCTCTTCTGCTGCTATCTCCGACTACGGCGAAGACGAGTCCGAATCGCCCGACGCCGTCGCCATCGCGGCGGCCCTGCGCGACGCGGGCGTGGACGCGCTCGGCCGGGACGCGTCCTCCGCCTCCGCCTTCCTTCAAGCCAGCGAGTCAAGCGACACAGCGCTGGGCGGCGAGGACCCCCCGACGCAGGACGGCGAGCTCACCGAGTCGCAGCTCTCGCGCCTCACGCACGTCCTCGAGCGCAGTGCGTTGTACAGCAGCATCCTGGAGCGCCAGATGCGCGAGGCGCGCGCAAGGCATGCGCTTACTTACGCGGAAGCGAATTCGACTATGGCTACCACTACGGCTAAGGGGAAGGCCAAGGGCAAGGGCAAGAAAGCGGCGAAGCGCAGGCGGGTGGACGACGAGGACGAAAAAGAGGAGGGTGCGTCGCGTATCGCGCTTAGTGCTACCGCGCTCTTCCCTCGTCTAACCTCCCTCCCCACAGAACAACCCGCAGAGCCCAAACCCGACTCCGCCGAAGCAGCAACGCCCGCCTTCCCCCAGCCCAAACTCATAACCGGCGCCACACTCCACCCGTACCAGCTCGAGGGCCTGCAGTGGATGCTGGGCCTCGACGAGCAGGGCATAAGCGGCATTCTGGGTATGTGTTGCGTCTACTTCTACGTCTGCTCCGTATCTCCCACTGCATCTACGTCCTTGTTTCGTTCCTCGTTTCGCGCGGCGTTTTCTTGTTTCCCATTGCGTCTGCTTCTGCGTCTGCGTCTGCTTCTGCGCGACGCGAGCCATGTGTGTGCACGCCACGCTACACGCTGTCTTTCTCTTTCCTTTCCTTTTCCTACGTGTCGGCGCGCAAGGGCGCGACGCGCACCTCCTATTGTGTGGGTGCACACACGGCACACGGCGCGCGCGGTGGATGGTGCATGTCGGGGCGGGCGTGGTGTGGCAGCGGGGCGCGCTTGTCCTCTTCGTTCCTCTTCGTTCGTTCGTGTGCGGCCGGGAGTCGAGAGTCGAGAGTCGCGGTGCGCGGAGTGGCTGGCTGGCGGTCGGGTGCGTCGGTGTGCTGCTCCTGGGTGTGCCGCCGTTGAGCTGCTCGGGTGCGTTGGGCGATCCTCGGGACGGGTGCGGTACGTACTACGCGGGCGTCGCCGTCGGCGTGCGGGCCTGATCCCGCCTCCCTTCCTCCCTCCCTCCCTCCCTTCCTTCCTTCCTTCCCTCCCTCCTCGCGCCTCGACGCGCCAATTACCATGACGCTCATTTATCGTCTTCCGCCCCACGTCGGCATCGGCGTCGGGCGGCCCCCCTCTTCTCTCCTCTTCTCTTCTCTCCTTTTCTCTTCTTTTCTCTTCTCTTCTTTTCTTTTCTTTTCTTTTCTTCTTCGCGCGCGCGGGGGCGGAGGAAGACAAACAAACCACGCGCGCCGTGTTTTTTGTTCCTTCCTTCCCCCCCTTCCTTGAAAGACAGCGTCTGTGCCCCCGCGCACGCGTGCAGGCAGCGTGCGCGCCCCCGTTTCCTTCCTTCTTCCTTCCTTTCCTTCTTTCTCTTCGTCTTTTCTTTCCTGGTGCGGCGCGGAAGCAAGAAAGAAGGGTGTGTGTCGCGCTTGTGGCGCGGGCTCCCGGATTATGGTGTGGCGCGGGTTCGCTGGGGGCGGGCGCCGGATGGGGGTGTAGATGAGATGTGTGTGTGTGTGTGGTGGACGCGGGGAAGGGCAAGAGGAGAGGCGGCGCGGCGCGGGTGCGGGTGCTGCGTCGCCTCCGTGTGCGCGGGGTGCCTTTGTTGCGGGACGGGACGGGAGGGGTGTGCCTTACCTTGCCTTGCTGCTTCCTGCTCCCGGGCCAGCGGGGAGCTGCGAGGAGAGGAGGCTGTTTTGCGGCGACGGCACTCGACGTTGGTGTTTTTGTTTTGTTTGTTTCGTTTCATTCCTCGCGCGCGTGCGGCCTTCTTCGCCCTAGACGACAGAGGAGAGGACCGCGCGCTGGATGGATAGCATTTTCTTTTCCTGCGCTTTTTTTTCGTTTCTTTGGATGCTGGAGGGCGGGATTCGCGCGGGTTGTGGGGTGCGGGACACGGGTTGCTTTGCTTTACTTTCTTCCTTCTTTCGTTCTTTCGTTCCGTCCCTCGATTCTACTTCTACTTCGCCGCTTTCTTCCCCTCCTTCCTCTCTACCCGACGTCATTTTACTGACTCCAACTTTTTTTTCCAGCGGACGAGATGGGTCTCGGCAAGGTGCGCTCTCCCTACTTTTATTTATCCGTTTGAGAGTAAATACTGATTGGGAGTTTTGGTTTTTCTTTTTTTTTCTATTCTCTGTTCTCTTCACCCTCTGCCCTGCACTACGACAACGACAACAACAACTCGCTCGGCGGACGACTTTGGCTGTGTATGTATGTACCGACGACGACGACGACCTACGCCTTCATTGCGACCACGTGCGAACTCGCTTGCTCTCTCGCATTCCGATGTCGGCTTTCTCACGACTCCTCTACGACCTACGCCTTCCCCAAAACAAAAGACCCTCCAAACCATCGCCTTCTGCGCCCACCTCCGCCACGAGCGGCGCGCCACCCGGCCCTTCCTCGTCGTCTGCCCCCTCAGCGTGCTGCACAACTGGGTCGAGGAGTTTGCAAGGTTCGCGCCGGAGGTGGGTGTGGGTTTTTTTGCGTTTTTTTGGGTGTGGGAGGGGAGGCGGGTGTGGGTTTTTTTTTTGGGGGGGAGCGTGGTTTTTGGGGCGAGGGTGTGGGGGGGGAGCGAGGGGCGAGGGCGTGGGGAGGAAGAGCCAGAGGGGGGTAAGGTGCGGGAATGACACGATGCCCATGACACGCACGGTGGTGGGGGCCCACGGAGCCGGAGCCGTCGGTGGGAGCGGGGCAGGGAGCTGCGTGTGCGCCCGACCGCAGAGCGGACGTCGCGCGCTGGGCGCGAGCGGGGGGTGGTGGGGAGCGCGAATGCGAATGAATGCCCCGCGCTTTGTCCTCCCATGCCCGCGGACATGGGGACGATTGCATTGCGCGCGCACGTCGCTGGAGGTGTGGCGTGTCGCGTGTCCTCTCCGCTCAGCTTTGCGCTGTGGCGAGCGACGTGCGGGGCGTCGACAGGCGCGGGCGGCGCGGCACTGCCGCGGTGTGTGTCTTGCGGGGTGGGGTGTGGGGATGATGCGCTTCGCCTCGTGGAGCGCTCTGGAGGCCGCGGGGCGGGTGTGTGTGTGCGGTACGCTGCGGGTGTGGATGTGCTGTGATGCGGGCGTCGGTGGGAGCATGTGGCGCCATTGGGTCGGTCTGACCTTGGCTTGGGCAGCGACATCTGGGGGACGGGCGTGTGGTAGACGCACTGGCTGGCTTGGATTCTGACGAGTCGGGGGTGCGGTGTGGGGGATGAGGAGATGGTGTGGCGCGCTCCCCCGGAACACAGCCGGCGCGTATGTGGCTGCGTGTGGGCGAGGTGGTGGAGGGGCCGCGGTGCCACTCCCAAGACGCATTATTTCTGGGGCCTTCCGTTCCCCTTCCTCTCCCCCTTCTCTCCTCTTCTCCCCCTTCCCCCCTCTCCTCTCCACCTCTCATCCTCACGTACCAACGCTAACACCCCCTCGTTCTACAGATCCCCGTCGTGCTCTACCACGGCACCCCCGCCGAGCGCGCGGAGATGCGGCGCACGGTGATGCGCATGCCCGAGGGGTGGCCGCGCGCCCCCGCCCCCGCCCCCGCCGCTTCTGGTTCTGTCTCTACTTCCGCTAACTCCAATGCCACCACTGCCCCTGTAGAGAAGAAGCGCGGGAGGCCGGCCAAGGGCAGCAAGAGCACGGACAAGGACAAGACCAAGCTGGCGCCGATCTTCCAGAGCGCGAAAAACGCGAAAAACGCCAGAAAGGAGGCGGTGGTGCCGGCATCGCCTGTGCGGAGGAGTGGGCGGAACGCGCAGCGGAATGGGGAGGCTGCGGCTGCGGAGGCGTCTACCTCGGCTTCGGCTCCTGTGCGGGGTGGACGGGGAGCTGGACGCGGAGGAAGGGGGACAGTACGGGGAGGACGAGGTGGGGCTACGGCGCCCGCGGCGACTGCCGGTGCGAAGCGCAAGCGGGGGGTCGTCGAGGACGACTCGTCCGACGAGGTCGATGAGCTGGACGACGACGAGGACGAGGACGAGGAAGACGATGCCAACGAAGGACGGGACGACGACGAAAACGAAAACGCGGACGAGAAGCCCAAAAACAAAAAGCCCACCGCCGCGCAAAAAAAGGCGCAAGCGCTCGACGACGCGCACGATGCGCATTTTGCGGCGTTTCCGGTTGTGGTGACGACGTATGATTTGATTATTCGGGATCGGCCGGTGTTGGGGGGGATTCCGTGGGGGTGCGTGTTTCGCTGATTTTTTCGTTTGTGGGAGGAGGGGGGAGCGCGTGCGAGGAGGGAGCGCGTGCGAGGAGGGAGCGCGTGCGAGGAGGCTGCGCTGGCTCCAGTCGGCGCGATGACTTGCTTTGAGCCATTTCGTCCCTTCTTCCGCTGATACATACGAACGCTGAAAACCGCCGCTGACGCCCCCTGCCATAGGTACATCGTCGTGGACGAGGGACACCGCCTGAAGAACATGCACTGTGCGC